TAATTCTGTAATAACTGACGTAGAGTAACATCGTTATTTAAGGTAATAGTATCTTATTTCCGATAGAATATGTGATGAGATATTACTGATTTGTAAACTAGAATATATGAGAGATACCGAATGCAAGCTCATTTAGGATCCGCAGTCAAAAAAACTAATGTACGTGACAGCAAGGTTCAGTGACAATCCTTTACTCAAAAAAATGAGTTAGCTTTTTTCGTTTCAGGTGATTCTCTACAACTTAGTTCCTACCAATTGACAACATGTCTCTCAGGTCTACACTGTGTGCTGCAATCATGCGTGCTGCATCTAACGAAACCTCTGGCGCTTTTGAAATCGCTTCAGGAATTAGGATTGACTGCGGAACTCGCCGAGAAAATTGCATCTGTGTGGGCTTTAAATGCACAGTCGCTTGTTAGTTGGGCTAGGGGTGACCAGACCATTCAAGTGAGTTGTTCAAGCATTGAGTTACTTTTTTTTTTTGTCAAGTCTGGTCTGCCATTTAAAGACGGGGATGCACGTTTAGTAACCAAATAATTCCAATTTTTAGCAGCATATTTCATTATGACTTGATAAACGTTTTGAATTACAAAGTTTAATAATAAGGTCTCATGATTGGTTTAATAACATATTAATCGTGCGAGGATGTTTCAATAAATGAATATATCTAAATAAATTAATATATAATATAATCGAAACAAGCTATTATATAGGAAAAGGTTTAAAACTAGCACAGCTGTTGCAACTCCCGTAGGTGAAGTAATTTTATTGTTTAAAAAAATTTTATTACATATTTTATATATATATGTATATATATTATAGTTTGTTATCATCGTTGCCTTTCAAAATAGACCGAGGAAATTTAACTTCAGAAGTACGCAGTTGCTAAATTGATGAGCCTTTTGACATAGGGAGATACTAGCAAGCGAATAGCGAATGTTAAAAAAGCTACATGTTTTGTTAACATAAATCTTTTTGTTTCTTTCTATACGCAAGCCGCCCATGCCAAGGTCGAACAGATGATCCACGCTTAATTCTCACTGCTTGTTGCGGAATATAATGCTGAACATTATTATTATTATTACAAAAACCAGCAGTATAGTCTGTATTATCACTCTTGTCGCTGTCAAGTCATCTCCATCTCATTTTGTGGGACAATGTTGACTCTATAATGGGTTAGCCATTATGATCAACATTACCAGTTTAGTACCGTCTTCTAGCACCTTCCGGTTTGCATATAGACTCTTAGCATATTGATGAAAGAGTCTTACCTTCGTGGAGGGACCCGGTACTATTTTGCAACCTGTCATTTCTCAATCAACCTTCATCACGTACCTGTTTACCTCAACTTTTTCTTTTCGGAACGAAATATTATACATATGCATATCTATTTGGCTAAAGGCGTCCTTATGTGACAGTAATCGTAATTACATATACGTATGTACTCTCGGATTCGCTGCAGCTTACTCGTAGAAGTTATTCCCTTTTCTTTTTGATTACGTTCCCCTCGTTGTCAACGTGGTCAGCAACTAAAACAGGTTGACGGTCTTCTTGTAGAACTGAGTTGTGAAGTACCAAGGATAACCTCTGCGGTATAATCATCAATTTTACAAATAGTATTTTGTTAACGTTGCAGGGAAAACGACTGTTTCTTGTAAGTTGGGAGATCTCATCCAATGTACCAAATCCCCAACCAGGCGTAGCACTTGCGTTCCGAGTTGGAGACGAGCAAAAAGTGCTGCAATTAGACAGAGCTCAGCTTCAGATGCTATTTGATCGGCTCCAGGACGTTCAAAAAGAACTGGATGATTTGATTGTATGAGGTTACCTTTTTTTTAAATAAAGAAATTTTAATCGTTTTGATATGGACCTGAGTACGCATAAAACAGCAATTTAAATGTACTATGTATTACCAGGTGTGACTGCAGAGCTCAGACTGTTAGAAATGTAGCAGGTTGTTAAAAGTGCATTTTGCACTGTGCTTTGCGTAACCATTCTAATATATAACGCAATACGATTAAACGCTGCAGTTCGCAAATACTAACTCACAATTAGAATATGTGTATGCATAAGGTAAACAACTTTGCATTTAATGCTTAATAATAAATATACGGTTCAAAAGTAACTGCTTGTAATCAGTATCTGTAAACTTAAAGTATCGTTTCTCGTTATTGTCGCAGGTAGATTTTGTATTTAAAATTAGTTTTCAATTTTATAGAAAATATATTTCGAAATACGATCCTTGAATTCAAGATAAGTGTACAAATAATTTCGTTATTAAATGGGTTGTACTTGCCGAAGTCCTTGTGCATATCTAATTAGCCGAATTCACATGAATCCAATTACCCCTTATCGACGAATCTCTTCCTTTGCATTTCATAAATTGTACATACCTTTGAGTTTAATTGCATAATCGCCTGAATCGTTTCCCAATAACTTATTTCAAATATATAACAATATTAATATATTTGATATATAATAGAATATAACAAATTCATGGTAAGCAGCACGTAAGAATAAAATTTTTACTCTACCATCCTGCGAAGAATCTACCATATAGTAGCGAATCATACCACAAGTGATAAAAACGATGCTTATGGGTAGTACCACAGACACATTAACTTAGATTAACAAACCTTAATGCAAAAAATGGCTGAAAAGGTTATCTATAGTAGGGGGGAATTTAAATTCCGACATACTCGGCCCAGGCACTTGTTGTAAAGGGTGTGCCGTCGGTCGTTGTCTTCAATGTTAGATGAAAATCAGTTCTTTCTAGAATATATAGGAGACCAGTCATAGCAAAAGACAGTGCGTTAATTTCAAAATTTAAATCAAGATCAGTTGTTATCCAACGTATTCACGCGAGGGGAATCCCACCGATGTTAAACCTCATTTTTTGAGCGAAATCGATGGGCTAGCCTATCACCAGTTTTCACACGGCGTCTGAAAATTCCGACGAAGATTTCCAAGAGCTAAACCGGGAAATCTTCGATGGAATTTAGGCTTAAAGAGCTCGAAAACTCATTAAAAGGACTTTTTTTGCTATATTTGATACATATTGATTAGTTGTATAGAAAATAACAGCTGTTTTGAAGAGCAGGAGATCAATTGTTAATTGGGTCATCCAGACAAATTCCAATGGTTAGTCTTTGTAAGATTTTCCGCGTCTTCTGCACCTTTTGTATTTATCGGCCGCTGCGAGCTCTTGCATTTATGGAACCTTAGACCGAAATTTAATTAGAATTTTTTTGTACGCAACGTATTTGGGCAAAACTTCAAGGGGTTCAAAACTGCTACTATAGCTTGATGCACATATTGATTAAAATTATTTACGGATTAAAGAAGGAATATTTTGCAAATAACTAGTGAGTGGTTCAGTTTCTGATTTGAATGTAAAATCATGGTGACTGACACTTCTACTACACGCAAAAAAACTTTGTTGAACTACCTGGTTTCATTTAAATAGTGTCACAAAAAAGAAACTTGAGTTTTAATTTAAATGTCCCATTCTGTATGTAGGAATATTTTATAGAAACTTTACTTGAATGAAGGCTATCTGCCTAATCTTCATAGACTGACGTGAATAAGATGATACTCCGGTAACGTCTAAATTTGTTGAACAGAGTTCGGAATCATGGTTCGATCTGTGCCTGTTCACACACGTATGCGATTATAGTCGACTAATATAACTTATTTCAAGTAATTAAAAAAGGTTTTGTTATAATAAAGGTGCTACGAGAACATTTTTATTTATGTTATATTTTAGTTAGATATTATATATAATTTTTACGAATGCTTTTTTTATCTTTTTTCCCTCAGGGTCAAGCTATATCTTTTTCTTAAATCACTTTCTGTGAATATATAAGTTATAAGCAGCGTCCCAGTTAGAAGGGTCTAATATACAGCACTCTGCGTGGTGAAAAAAACACGCCAACTAGAGAGAACGTATCGTATTTCCTGCCAAGCAAAAGTGTCTTTGTCTTTCAAACGGTATAACAATCACTCACACATAATAGCATTGGGCCACTGATCTAGAGACATGTTTCAAAAGGACACTTCCGTTTTGAATTCTATTGTACGTGCAGCAATCCATAACTTCTTTAGTCGCCTTCCATAAGGCCAGCCAATTTTCAGTCCGGCAACTCACTGCGATATTAATCGATGACGGAATAATGTAGATAAATCTTGACATTGCACTAATATTTTTGCAGAAGTGCCGTCGCGTTTATAGGTGAAGCATGCATTTCCAATACGTTTGGCAAATCTAAACATTGTCTTAGAAAAACACACGGTAGTAGCCCAAGAACATTTTCCTATCTATCAAGAGGTGGTTTATGATAACAGCAGCTGCATCTTCTAAACTTTTGTCAGCTTTATCACTGTCATATTTTGCTGCGGGTGTTTTAAGGACGCGCATCCGTGCAGGCATTGACGAGCTTAGCAAAACCGTTTTCACAGCGAACACAATAGCAGCGCCGCCTTTTCGCGCATTGACACTGTGATTGCAGCGGTGACCAGGCACCGCATACGCACATGGGAGTAACCGTCACTTGCCCTGAGTCAATCCCCGCCTTGAATCCAATACCACCTAGGTAATGGCGCGTAGTTTTAAGTCAATACTGTTTGAAAGAATTGCGGAGCCATCCATATGTAAAGTGCTTTTGATACTTTAAATTTAGCTAGATTTCTGGTTAGTTCTAGAAAAATCACGACAAAATGCAGCGGCGTTCTCTCTCAAGCAATGATTTGATAAATATTCGAAACTAACCGTTGAAATGACAAAGAGCGACACTCAGCGATAGAGAGCTAGTTATGCTGCATTTTTTAAAAACGATTTAAAAAACCGTTTATTAACAGTAACCAATAGGCTTATTGCGTGAATATGCCTTTTCAAAGAAGAAACTTTGGAAAGTCACAGTTATGCATGAAACAAGGCTTTTTCTTACCAGCTCATAAAAATGGAGAAAATGATCATAAACATTAGATTACCAATAGGTCTTGAACAAGTTGCAGTTTCGCGAAATTATGGAGCGCGTGTTAACTGACGGTTGAGAAAATGGTTTGCTTTCTATTAACTTTCAGCAACTATTAACTTTGTGCAAAAATGGCACTTCATTGCGGTGCTGTATGACGTCAATTGAATTCTTCATAGATATCCCATGGCCACTTGACACAAAGTGTTTAATATGCACGTTTATCTAATAGCCAGCAGTAAGTCTCGAGCATACAAAGGAGTTCCAAGAACCTCTGATTCATATAAAGAGCCCTTCAGCCCCATTTTTATTAAACATCATTGAGCATATGAATTTCTACTCAGTTTACTCTCATTGTTAGTTGCCATGCTCATACTTAACAAATTATCTAATAAATTTCAAGTAAAAGCAATCATAACAACGCCGTAACAATTCCAGCGGCTATCGTCTGGCCTCTTTGACGCAGAGTTATTCTGCCGAGCTCCTTTGAATCTTGATATAACTCTAGGCAGACTGGACGCGCCACTTTGATTATTACAACGCCAGTGCTGTTTTTTCCCAAGTACCTGCGGTCATAAATATACTATTAAAAGTTTTTTACTCTCGATTAGATTACATTTTTTGATACGTTGTCATTTGTCCTTGTCAAAATGTAGACACAACGTTGTGATATTCAATATTCTTCACCCTTTAAAAGAAGCGTGTAAAGATACATAAGGCACCATGTTTCAAAAAAGTGAAAAAAAAACTGCATTCGCAATTGGGAGCTATAATTATGCTAATGCATCTCAGTTTCTATTTCAAAGGGAGGTTGCGTCAAATGGAATTGAGCATGAATACATTAAAATGTAAAACCGCAAGTTCATATCCTATAACTTAGAACAAGAGGACAAGTGATTGGAAGGAATCTACATTGCACTCCAAAACAGAATTTCTCAATTATTTGGAACATCATAAAGATAGACAAACCTGGGTTTTTCACGGATGACTTCGCCGGTGCCTCTGTTAAGTTCTTTAATAAGCCTTCCGAAATGCGCCTGTTCACTCGTAGCCTGGAAGTGAAGAATAACGGGAAAGCCCTTGATAATAGGAACGTCCACGTTAAAAATCACCACCTGCAATGTAAACATACAGGCAACCGTAACGCGAAAATATAATATTCTTTGACTTGAGGGAACTGGTACTACCACGAATAAGCTAAAATTGAATAAAAGTCAGGAGAGACAAGCCTGGCTAAAGTAAAACGTAATGCGAATTTTCCAGAAGCGCAAAATGATTAAGTATTTATTGTAAGCCATTTGAGGCTCTCTAGCTGTGATATTATTGTTATCGTTTTCCTACCTTAGCTTCGAATTTGGTGACCACCCGAATAAGATTACTTAGATCGCAAAGAACGGAGCCGGAAACAATGTTTGCAGGGTCACATTTATCTAACGTTACGACTACATTATCACCTGCAAAGACTCTTTGTTGAGACAGCTCATCAATGGCAAGAGCTGAAAACAAGCACAGTCAACGCAATTTAGTTAAAAACACCTACTTATCTCAGAGCATTTTTTTAACATACCAGGACGAGGTTGCATGTAAGCTTCACAGTTGTTCAAGCAAGGGCTTAATCAACAGACTAAGTGGTTGTTTTATTCTCATAGAACAGTGGAAATTTATTGAAGGTTAATGAAGGCATTAGGCAAGGAGATATATAGTACATGAACTAGTACGAGATAGGTAGCGCGTAAATGGTGCAGATATTTTGAGAACGATGTTTTGGCGTACTGAAGACTAGCAAAGAAGTGACAAAATGTGAAGTCTTGAGGACAAGAAAGCATTGCCGCGGTCGAGAAGGCTTTTCACGAAGGTAGAGCTTGAAATCAATGGGCTCTGTAGGCCAAAACTAATTTTGATCACGCAATATCTGACAGAATTATAATTTAAATACCAAAAATGCGGAAACGAAGTAAAAATACGGGCCCTTGGATTGATATCAGATTTGCTGAAAAGGCGTGTAGTGTACTCCACGTGCAATCTGAGGAACTTTGATCAACAAGAAGCCCGCCTGGGGTACACGATTGTTACAACCAAGGCATAATTCAATCTCTACCGACAGCTGGAGAGACACCCGGGAAGAAAATAATGTCGCTTTGAAGATAAATCGAGTTCAATGGCATTTTCGAGTAGGTTCTGACGTGACGTGACATTTTCAGTGGACATCAGCGGAATCGGCTACTATGAGACACTCGCTGAAGAAAAAAACGTGGATGCTATCCGCTGTCACAAGCTCCGCAAGAGAATCATGGACGGTTGGCGCGACAATCAAAAACAGGTAGTCTGGTTAATTGATGGCAACATCAGACCATAGTGCTGTACCTTAATTACCTCCTGGATTGAGCAAATAGAATATACAACGTTAGCTTCAACCCTCTTGATTTTCAGATCTTACACCGTGTGATTTGCAGGATATAGCTTCACCGTGTGATATTGCTTCACAAGGACAACTTGTGGGTAAGCATATCCCATTATCGATTCGAGAAGTTATAGAAAGAGGAATCATTTATAGAAACGCAAATGGTAGGTATATGACTGTCGAAGAGCCGTCAGAGCATTTCAATAGATGTGTAGCAAAATAGTACTTCTAGATACATTAAAAAACCATCATTCTAGCCTAACTAGTTTAAGAGTTAGTTGTCAAAGTTTGCAGCCAAAATTGTGAGGGGGTGTCACAATGTAGTACAGTTTAAAATAAATCTGGTGGGCTAAATGATGCTTTTAAAATTTTATTGTAAGCAACTTCGAACATAAAGTACTGATGTAGCTTGTCACTATATGTACAGCCATGTAAACGAAAGGTCTAGAAAAAAAGAAAAAGTAAAGTTGGTTTAAAGTTAATAAACTCAACGAACCTTTTACAATGCAATTTTCTTGAGCCGGCATGACACTAAGCTTATCCCCTTGCGCAACAGATCCACTTTCGATTCTTCCAGCAACACACACTCCGGACTGAACCCCTTTAAAAACATCAGTGACGCACATGCGAAGTGGTCGCGTTACAGCACGGGCTGGTGGCCTCATATGATCGATGACTTCAAGAAGACAAGGACCTTTATACCATGCAGTCAGAAGAGAATTTTTACTTCGCTCGTGCAGATTATCTCCAGTCAGCCCGCTACAGGGCACATATGAGACGCTCTGTTCTCCAAAACCCGTTTGCTTAAAAAAGGGCCTGAGAGCTGAAGCAATCTCGTTGAAGCGATTCTCTGACCAGGCACAAGTTTCCAACTTGTTCACTACAACCGCCAGTTGAGATACACCTAAAGATCTGCGATAAATGAGATACAAACAGCACACACAAAGGGCGTCTGTAAAAATAGCTAATGACAATATTACGGGTTAATTCGAAGGAACAAATCGTAATTATATGCCTTACGAGGGCACTAGTTACAATACTGCGTCTTATGAAAAAATAGATTCATGCATGTGTAGTCGTCAGTCCTAAAACAACGAGTCACACAGTTGAGAAGGTTTTAAAAAGAAAACCTATTTTATAATCAACTTACTATGCTAACAAATAGACGCGTTATGACCATGCGTCCGTACCCGATACATAGTATAGACATGATAAACCGGTGAAGAAGAGTTGGTCACATTGACGATAATAAAAACTGATAGAGCAAAAATCTATAACAAAGTCTTTTAAAGAAAGTAGATTACATATTATATTGTGTAAAAAAAACTATGATCAAAGTGGCTTTTATTTTGCACAGTATTGTACCAAAGCCTTATAATCTATAAGATCTCACCTGTAGTATTTACCTGATCACATTATGTGCTTTGCTAGATTTACCTGATCAGCATTGTGTGCTCTCTCGTCTGACCTCCAGATTCAAATCCAGTCTCAAACTCGCCACGGGTGGCGTTTACAACAAGGATTCCTGCATCCGCCTGCGCGGCACCTGTAATCATGTTCGGAATGAATTCCTTGTGTCCTGGTGCATCCAGAATATTGACGATCCTGTCGGAAAACAGTTAATTCTCCATGGTTTTAGATTAAACCGCAAATCTAGGTTTGAACCGTTACTAAAAATGCCCAATGACATACTAGAATTACTAATTGATACTGAAGATTAAGGAACTTGGGATGGATGGATCGAAATGGGTCAATATTAACATCGTTAATCGCTTTATTCAACTCACAGTTTCATATTCAACTTTTTGTCAGTTTATCTAACAGGAATCAAGTGCATTAATGTACTAAAGCGGTCCGGCTTAGTTTTATTTTAGACAGGGCCATATGTCATATAGCCATTAGCTTTCCGTCTATTTAGCTATAGGCATATTATGCCCTGTGACAAGTTGATCATGTTGATCCAGCAGGTTATTTTCACCCCGCAGTACCCTCTGGCGGCTAGGAGATTTAACTTCACGTTGCGCTGACTAGACTTTCTCGTAACTCCTAAGGGCGCAGGTCAAGCAGGGTTGTATTGTTTCTAAAGCCGAGTAACGGGTCGAAAAATTTCCGGCCTCCGACCTGATCGGAAGTGTCTTGCATGGGTCTGCTCGCCCACATAGTCAGTCTTCCGGTTGTAGCGTATTTCCTTCACACGGTAGTACCCGTATGATTGTGACTGTTCAGCTCACTTAATAGAATTTACGCTCATTTTTTTAGAGGATGGTCCGCAAATCCGTTGTCGACGAAATTGCAAGAGATGTATTTTCGCAACCTTGTCTCGCAAATTTGCATACATTGCAGCCACGTACATAAAGACGTGTTGTAGCCCGTATTCCTCTGTCCAGGAAAAACATGCTGTCAGGCAGTTACCAGTTTTCACTGCACTTGAGTGTCCTTGAAACTGTCCACCGCAAGGTCAGTGTCGTTGTAGAGTCTTGTAATGATCTAGCTGGGGTACTAACTAAAGGCTTGTCCGGCGTGACGATAGGATTGCACTCCTGTCGTCGGACAATAAGTTATTTTTACATAATATAGCAAATAAATATAGCTTAGGGGCGCCCCTACCAATAAACCTCAGACCATTCCTGTGTATAGTCTTGAAGCACTTGCATTAGCTTAGCACAAAAAATTACATAAGCCTCGAAGAGACAATTACTAAAGATGCTGACCCCGCCGTACTTCAAATGCTATCTAAGAGAGCTTCGAAGTTAAGTTTTACACCTTGTTTATCTAGCCAAAGCGGACTAGCACTCATGAATTTGCTAGACGTCTTGCCAGTCTACCCGCAATGATAAAAAAAATCCTTTCGGCTAAGTGGCCTCATCCGGAGGAAAGCGTTTGTGCAACTTTAGTTAAACTACTCCACATTGCCCCTATATTGATCTTGAAATCGAACCTAGCCCGGGCCACTTTCTGCAAATATTTTCGCACCTTTCCTATTATCTGGCCCGAAGGCCATTTCTATCCTGCCACGCGCTGCTTGTATTGTGTTTTCGGCGAATCTCATTGGTAGTGGCTCCCGATAACCCAGCCGTTTTAGCAGCTCCTTTGCAACTTAAAGACACACTAAGTCATGTCATCACTGCCGGTAGAGTGAAGCAGACTGGTTTAGCTGTGTCATTTGCGGGTATTAGCTTGTACTTTGCAATCATTCGCTGTGCGCTTATATAACTCTAAATGTGTATTTATTTATAAATTCATCTTATACACTTGCTCCATTACTGTACACATGATAAACCGCCTAAACACGAATATTTACTTGTGCTTTGTTTCTAAAACTATATTTAAATAAAAATAAATATTTCAATGGCATTATTTATATATATAAAACTATTAATTTTGATAGTCATATTCATTCGACCTAACATTCGTATATCTCAACTATATCTTCAATTTGGTACTTAAATCACCTAGTTATTTTAAAATATTTGTACTTTATTCCACCAATAAATGTCAATAATAACGATGCGTCAAGTTATATGCGTAAATACAGACCCTCTAGACTGTTTTCTAAGGCGCTACAGATACAAAGTTTCAGTGGAGGTAAATTTTGGATTAAGAGCAAGCTCAAAAGTACAAAAAAGTTAAATACAGCTGCAAAGCCTAAAAAGTCTAAAAGGTCAAAAAGAAAATAAACCTTCGAACTTATTTAAGCGAATCAGTTGACTTTAGATGTTCTCCTCTTGAAACCACCCGTTAATTTCGGTATTGAAAATCCAGTATTATCAGAAAAGGAGTTTTACGTCATTCTGACAAATTTTTGGGCCCTTTAGACCCTATGGAGGCTTCCCCAGTTTTCCTTATGAAAATCCTTCATCGATTCTTCAAAAGCCGCTTAGAAACTAGTACCAAGGAATACAGTTGACTTTGGAAAAAAAAACGCTTTTTTAAACCTTGGTGGGATTTCACTCCGATATTATTAAGTTAAAAATTAATCAAAGATGTCCGGATTTAAGTCTGGTACTCTGTATATGCTTTCAAATATAGAACTTTCAAATCGCTCAAAAGTGTTCTGTAACATATTTAAAACACTTTAAGAAAACCTCTTGGATAAAAAAAATATTTTTCTATTCAGAACATACATTTAAATGAATCTTTAGAAATTGTAGTTGTTAATAGAGCGTTTCATATATAGACAGCATAGCTTTTCGGTATCGCCTTAGAATCGCCGTTTAGTTACAGTTATTATCAATAGTTTTAGGGAACCCTGTCCATCGCGGGCGTGCACTAGAAAAATGTTATAGCATAGCAACGATTTGTGTTGCTATGCCTTGTTAGGGAAGATAAATACATCTCCTGCTATTACTAGTTACGAACCTATGCCCAGTCTCCAGTCTAGCATGAGCGATGTCCATCGTGATTCCGCGGCTTCTCTCCTCAGGCGTCTCGTCCAGAACCCAGGCAAATGCAAATGATGCCTTACCAAACTTCTTAGATTCCTATGGTGGATAGATGTATTTGAGTTATACGTATACAAGCAAATAAGGTACCTATTCTGTATGAATGCTACCATGTTATGCTATAGCGCGAAAATAGCTAAGACAAAACTATCTTTCGAGTCTACGATACAAAATCCATCTTAAATCACATTTTGCCTAATTGAGAAAATCAATTCAAAAATTTTCAAAAGGCTTAGTTTTTTTTAAGTTAGACATTTATGAGAAGTATAAGAATTAATCTGGCAAAGGTTCTAAAATTTAGCAGTTAAGAAAGGTGAAACTATTTAAATAGCATATGGTGGCGTAACTATTGGAGTAACTTACGTGCTCGTATTTGTCCATAGTTTTCTTGCTGACATTTCCAGTGAGATAAAGAAGATGGCCCATTAACGTACTCTTTCCAGCGTCTACATGCCCGATAACAACAAGATTCAAAAGTGGTTTTCTGGCACTTCGTTCCTTGTCATACTGCTCTTGAATTATCTTCGTGTCCACCTTTAAATGTCTTGCAGGCTTCGGAGAAGATGTGACTTTTGGCGTATCTGGTGGGAGCTTCTTGGGCGCATTGTTTATCTCTTGTTCTATTTTAAGTTCGTTAAGTTCTCGAGCTGCTTCCTTACCTGGTTGAAATTTTGAGGCCTTTGACGATAACTCTTTGAAATTTTTGCCGCTGAATGTCACACGCATAGGAACCTCAACTGGAGGAACACTAATTAACGGAGCGCGATGTTGCTTTAAAGGTTTAGTTTCTGGAAAAAAGAGTTTCTTCACTCCTGGAATAACATGTCAATAATTAAAAACAGTTATTTACAAATGCTTATACCTGGCCGACTTTTGTGTCAAATTGCTTCATTATACAAGCGTGCCACTAGATTATATCTGGTTGTGGTGACCAGCAGCAAAGTATGGAGCATGTTTAAACGAATGGTAAGAATGAATATTTTCCACAGTAACTATTTATTACTAACAATAGGAAACTGCATTTATTTGCGCCGTTGATACAGAAAGAGCCTTGCCTGCATATCAAGCTAAAAGGAGTAAAACATAGGGAATAAAACATTTGTTTTATTTTGTGTTTTTTTGGATACTAGCCTATAACAATTCAATTATCAGACACAATTCAAACACTTGACTAGTTGCGGAAGAAATTCTACACGTGCATTTTTTAAAAAAAAGTCAAAAAATAGTTTTTCAGGTAGATGTTTTTACATCTTTTTTTTAGGTACAGAAAAAAGACAGAGCTGCCCTTAGAACTGGAGAGTTTGAGAGAGCCTCTTGAAAAAATGCCCATAGTTTTTAAAAACTGCTAACAAAGTTAGTATTAAAATCATCCTCAGTATTCGTTTTGTACCGATTTCAAATTGAAACTTGCAGAGTTCTATGGAATTTAATCTTTCCCTCCAGGTTACAACTATTGCTATGTGCCATCGACGGTACAAACTTTTTAAACATAGTTTCTGTATAAATATTTTCTACACGTAAATGCCATATACACTGGTCTTTATTCTCTTCTTTGTGAGGCAAACTTCATTCTCACTTCAAAAAAAGGGCGCTTTTATTTTGTGCTTAGTTAAGCGAAAACGGTGAGAAAGCACACGCAATTACAATCTAAACGTATTACTGCCTTTGCAATAAATTTTTAAATGTTTGTTCTCACGATAAGAGAATAATTGTACTTAATTATGTGTGTACCTTTTTTGGGTTAACAAAAATACATTTCTTTAAAATTGTTTTAAGACGTTAAACGGTAGCGCAGTACAAGATGATGAAATGAATCGAAAAGACGTAATAAAAGTTTCTGCGCGTAATGTCAAGCCTTACATGTGAGCTTCAGTTCTTAAAGCAGTCGAAGGTCGTTGTCAGAGATGACAAGGATGCACGGAAAATAATCACAGCTATTTTTGTACAATCATACTATTTGTTATTTAGCTATATCTGAATTTGAGGAAACGATAATTTTTAAATATTACAACATACTATTAAATTAGTATAAAACACACCGCAAAATGTCTCCCCATTTCGCTGTACTGTATTTTTAACTAGATCATCGGGTGATGGCTCTTCGAAAGCAAATGTTTCCTTTTGTCTAAGATACAATCCCTTGTACCATCTTATCGTGGTGCCTAGTGCTCCTTCATTACGTCGCTGTAACTTTAAGAGCACACGTGACATTTCTGAGGTTTCTTGGGAGGGCGCCAGCCGGTTCCGTTCTATGCTTTGTTGTTCCGCACTCGCTTGAAGTAGTTCATCAAGTGCATCGGTCACTTTCCCCGACAGTGAAAGTTCGTTTATATCAGTTGTCGATGTTCTAATAGGAACGATCATCGGATTATTTGATTCCCGTGTTGCTAATGTCTGATTTAGTCCTGCTTGTTCTTTTGTCTGATTAGAAGTATTTCCTGCCAATATCTGCTTGAGATCTAGACCTTTCCTAGGCTCTATGCTTGTGCCTAGTAAGTCGTCCAAAGTAAGGCTACTGTCCATCAACGTTCCAAGTGAATCAGCTAAGTTGCCCGGAGACCCATGCAAAGGCCCAGAATTATGAGAAAAATCAGTGACTGTATCAGGAAGCGCAGGAAACGCTATAGACGGTAATTTGCCACTTAATAAGGAGTCGATATCCATGCCCTGTGTCGTTACTGAGGCACTGCCAAGAAGAGCATCTATGTTAAATTCGCTCTGAAATTGATTGTTTTGACTATTGGGATTGGAAACTTACCTTGCAGAAAGGAATCAGGCAGCATTCACATGAAACCAAAAAATTATACATTAGAGTTATAATGCCAAATAATAGTTGCTATTGAAAACAACAATGGGTTGGTTTTCCCTATAATCATCAATTATATCGCCCAAGATAGTAGTTATAATAATAATAAAGATAATAATGTGAATTTTTAATGTCTCGAAATATGAATCCCTAACTAACAGTTTTAGTCAATACGATTCGTATGTGGTTGAGGTTCACGTCCTCTGATCTCAGCACTTTCGCTAAGATCTTTCTCGTAATAGTTATTATTATGCATCTCAAGAGAGGTCTGCGATTTCGTATAATGTGTTTTTAAATGATCAAGTGCATTTAAATGTGAGCTCCAGAAGTACTACATAACAGAAGCTCAAAAAGCTAAAACGCCAAACAAAGGAGCCAAAAGAAATAAGAAAACTGAGGACGTTTTGAGGATCATTCGATCTATCGCGATATTTCTTTTGAAATCATCGTTTAATACCAACTAAATTGAAAACTAAATCTAGATGAGTCGGTCTAAACCGTCCTGTTCCAGATCACAAAAGATTCATTGTTTAGGCCTTGATGACGGCGACGCGGATATTTGCAACTACAGTGACTTTCCGCATATATTATCATAAATAAGGCGGAATTATTTTTTGTAGCTAAATCTAATTATAGTAAGAAAGCTCATTTACCTGCTTCAGCGACGCCAGCTTTAAAAGCTCCGTGAATAGCAGCTGGTACATCCGGCTTGTCTCTCCCTGACCTTCTACTAAAAATGATATCGAGTGCCCTCTCAGGATCAAAATTCTGGCTTTTTGCTGCCTGACAAAGAACGTTTTCAGGTTCTGAATCGCCAACGACAGATCGCATCTTGTCTAAGCAGTCGAAGAACTTTTCACGATCAGCTTCGGTCACCTGACTTGTGTCGATCACATCATCATCATGCGGATGTGTAGCCATTTCGTCCTAGATAAGAACATGACGCTTAATTAACCTTTAGCAGTCTGACAGATGAAGCCCGAGTGATCGAAACCCTGCTTCAAATATCAGCGAACACGTAGATTCAGCAAGTATATCACCTATACAGTCATAAAGAAGATATCGCTTGTCTGGAGAATGCGAGATGTCTAAAATTATACTAACTGATTTTTTAGTAGAATGTTAAAGTTGATCGTTTATATGAAGTATTCAAACTAGTTATTACTGTTAGGATTCTACTAGAATTTCAATAGGCTTTGTATATAAGGATGCCTTCCAAGTAAGTTTAAATGAAAATTTCCTTTAATAAAAATCACGAGTCAGTATGTTGTAATCCGTGTCAGCTATTTCAGGTGACTTCTGTTGAAAACGTATATACAAAAGAGTATGGTCATCGGGTGACATGCTGATGCGAAACCAAAATCAAGACTCAACGTATGCCAATTTCATATGATTGCTATACATGCTGTAAGCTACTGTTTCATAAAAAATATTAGATCTATGCACAAGTTCTTGTAATTAGAGTATACTCGTTGCCTCTCCAAACGCATCGTTTGCTACACCCTAGTGTTAGTATTGTTAAAAAGCTTCTCTGTTTTCATCATTTCATTCAAATTGAAAATTTTCATTTGATATTTAATTTCTGGAGTAGGTAAAGTAGATTCCAGAACATAGCGATCTCGACGTTTGGTAAAATAAAATCGATGTTTAAGGTCTTAAAACGATGTGATAATATAATATAATCCTAAGAACAGATTTTTGAAAACTGATCGGAAATCAATGATTGGAGAATGATTAAGAAATAACAAACAGAAGATAAGGTATTAGAAAATTGTATAAATCAAAGGACACTTTCTCTGAAACGTTCTTATTATTAGTTTTTTTGTCTCATATACCCACGGTTTTTTGTTTTAGATATACTCCTAATTAAAGAACATGTCGAAAATTATTAACGTACTAACAAAACGTTGCATCTACTCCGAAGTTCAAACTTGCTAACATAAATTGCAAAACTTATATTCGGCTTATGCGCAAATCTAATACGAAGCGCATTGTAGGTACTAATCGTTCAAGGTAATCGGAGTCTGAATAAATAGTAAACATTACATATGCATGCGTACTGATACAGTAGCAGATATTTACTGACCTCATCTTCTTCTTTGACTGGAGGATTATGTGGTTCCCAGATTTTCGACACCGACTGGAGTCTCTCACGTGAATACGTGTACAAACTTTCCGTTTCTGGCGTTACACAACCGTTTTCAAAAGACGTTCCATAATCATCACTTGAGTAGTCATCAATTTCTGTTATAAACAGAGTTGGGGAAGGTAGAAAGCGACAAATCTGTTTCATTGGTTAATGTATTTGTCAGAATTAAATTTAAAGAGACAGAACGTGTACAACGTTCATCAGCATGCTTGTTTTTATTTATTCATTATTGTTTTATTCGTTAATTATAATACAGTGGGAAAATGAAAAGCCTGTTTCACCTGTGCTTTGCTTCAATATTCGGTGTTATAGCAAAAGAAAATAAGCATCCAAGATTACGTATCGCGTGGCGCATAATTGAAAGTAAATCCAAATAGACTATTCCAAGGAAATATAACATTTCTTAAGTTAGTTAAATCTAACTACCAATGAAACGACATTATGAACTTGAAATAATTATGTTTCCGTTTATTCAAAACATATAAGGTATTTTTTAATTTATACGAATCGTATTTGCAAAATATACGAATCTGATAATAAGATACTAATGTTCGTTCTTCCTAGAACAGCATATGTCTACGGCTATATGAGGTTTGCTTCGTATTTATAAATTAATTTCGCTGAAAAAAATTGCTTTAAGCCCCGACAACGGCATATAGCTCACAACAAGTATAATTTAATAAAAGAAACAAACAATACTTATAGATAGAGGCCTTTTTATGTATTGCTATTTCTACAGATTACTGATTTTGGTATATTGCATTTCTCTGATCTCCTGAGGTTAGCAGAGACATACTAGGATACTAGCGCATAACCAATTATTGAATGTCTGAATGTGACAGGTATATAGGGGCAACAATCTCGAATGACTGAGTCACACAACAGTTATTCGTCGAAGAAAATAATAATAAAGAACTGAGGAAAAAAATTGACTCTGCACATTGTGCTCTCTGTGCATTGATAATGCACTCATCGGTCTAATGCTATGCATGTTTTTTTTTACAGTGTATTAAGCCAACAAAATAACGAAGCACATTCTCATATATATATATAAATTTATCATAGTCAATCTTTGTCTCCATCGAGTCATGTCATTGTAGCACACTCCCAAGTAACACGATTAAATGATTCCTACCACGAAATCGAGCTGCTGGCAGAAATCGCTCGTAATTGAAAAACCCCTACCTACCTTCGTCATAGTTCATGGTCCGAATATTTCGATGGCGCGCCATTTATGCACATTCAACAGCTTCCTTACTAACTTGCATACTTTCGTGGCTCAGATGTCACAAAATTCCGATTCTTCACATTGATGAAAACATTTGTTACAAGCTGTGTTTCTAAACGACACCCATGCGTAATGCTGAAATTTTCCTGTAAATACCTTACAAAAATGTTAAAGAAGCTGTTTTATTATTGGCTAACCTTGCATGTGAATACATACGAAAATCCATACGTAAATACAGAAAATGCCTAACTAAAAGTACGTAACAATTAAAGCCAGAGCATAATCGAATACACTTCCGGTTTCGATTGTCTGCACACGGGTGTCATTTAAAGTAACTATTTGCATTGGTTCGAACTCTGCAAGATGGCCGAGTACGATTTGATTAAAACTGTTTCGCATTATTTTGATCTGCATCTCGTGATTCCGTTGCTTGAGTTTATTGTAACAAAGAACGTGAGTCATACTGATCATTTTAAGACCAAGATTGTGTAGATTATATACGTAGTGTACAATTGATTGTTTTCCGGCGAAACCATGTGGCGTCGGTATGCACATCAACACACGTATGGGTAACTAACTTTATAGTTACTTCAGTTAAGCAGGCCCGCACAACAATACAGTACATGCACTAGCATTAAATTCATTGCTTCGACATTATGAGTGAATGAAAATTTCAGGATCTAACAACACAGATTCATTTCGTGCTGATGCGTCAGTTTTATCCATAACAAAAATTCCTGTAGTGTATAGATACTTAATTTAAATCGCTAAATCGGAAGTACTTTCATAAGATAATTCAACACTATGTAAAAAGTTACCTTTTTAATATAATAATCGAAACAAATCAAGTGTTACCTCTGTCGATATAGTATTGCGCGAGGGCATGCTGGACAGAACTTAACGGTATTTTTGTCTTCTACATATCTGGAATCCGAAATAAGATCATTAGCATACGAAATGCTAGATAATCCTTTGTTAAAAGGCATCTCGGTATTAGGCACCTAACCACAACTTTCTAAAGGTTTCTAAAGGTACAACAAAGATGATTGTTATTCATAAATGTTATACACACTTATGAGTAACAATCATCATGCAGAGCAAAAATCAACGTAATTTGAACAATTGGCGCTACATGGCACATGAGAATGAGTTTTATCGTCTAGAGACCATGACAAGCGCCATTCAGTGTATTTAATTAACGCGAGGACCAATATCAATAATAAACTTTTATTGATACTACTACTTTGGGTCAACAATACGTAAATAAAAACGATAATATAGGTAAAAATTTTAGTTTTTATAAGATGATATTAAAGGCAGCAAGGCGCTTCGACCGAGCAATATTCTAAATCGCGCCTTCGAATATGTACCAAACAATTATTATATCACTAAAAAAATTCACTCTATGTGGCAAGCTGATTGAGTCGACCGCCCTTGAAAACTGCACGCGTAACTTATATGTACAAAACTTTACACCAGCTGTCCTTCTTATGCTAACTAGCTAACCCACGTACTTTGCACTTTGTGTTCTTTGTAGATATACGATGCAGAAGAGGTCAACCGTAAGCGACTTAAGCTGTTGGAACGAACCAGCATGGTTGATTATACTATCGACGTGTATACTCAGCTGATGCCACACAAGGCTGAGGAAGTAAAAAAAGATCTTATGAAACGCCGAGCAGAGGTTGTTGCTGAGTTTCAGAGTTTGTTAAAGAAATGCACTCCTATCATGGATGCAATCAATGCGCAAGACACAAAAGAATTTATGACGAACTGTCGAGACGGCCGCCAGCTTTTTGAATATGTATCCAACAAATTCAACGGCATTTCATCTGAAACAATTAACGATGTCTATGCGTTCGCCAAACATTACTACAACTGCGGCAACTACAATATGGCGTCCGATTTGCTTGTCGTACACCGTCTTCTAATTCCTCCGCATGATCCCAATTATTCGAACAATATTTGGGGAAAATTAGCGTCCAACATTCTTTCCCAGGTATGTGAACGAAACCTTTTCTCCTGTTACTGACCTTTTTTATCGTGCAATATGTATGCGACTTTTCTGTTGTTGGTGTATGCATTTCGTTATTTTGATGATGAACAACAGCAACCATTAACTACGTATCTTGTATTATCGTACAAGTCAGTTTATGGTATTATTCGGGCTTATTTCAGGACTGGTCAAACGCTATTACCGAAGTGAACACGTTGCGAGAATACATCGATTCCAATCAGTAAGTCCTATGAGTAAGTTAATTTGTTATGTATACCCAACATATATGTTTACACTTTTTATTATTTAAACGAAAATTTTCACGTTTTAGTAAAGAGAGGTACTTGTTTCTCCGTTCCAAACCACCTCCGGTTTCAGAATAGGTTTCTTGAGTGTGCTATATTGTAATTGGGTTTTAGACTTAGTTTATCTGTTTATCGAAATGTCTCATTAGCAAATATAATTTAGCGCGACCTTTATAATGAACCAAAAAGCCCGTGGCTTGAACAGCGGCCTTCCGCACATTTGAGAGCGTCAAATCGGTTCGATTTGGGTATCAATAGTGACATGATAGGACTTTGTTAAATGCTACACCTTAAATATATGAGTTTGAAATCATGAATGCATATCATAATTACTCAGAAGTCTGTCTTTGGTTGGGCTAAATAACCTGTACATGTATTCGATCGGTATTGCATAACCACAGCTACTTTCCTTTATTCATCAGGTTTGGCTCGCCTCTGCAGTCACTACAGCAACGTACATGGCTGATACACTGGAGCCTGTACGTCTATTTCAACCACCCTCAAGTGAGCGTCCCCAATCATCTATTACAATCTGTCGCGCCGTTCTCGTCGACAAAATTATTGACTTAATTATTTGTAATTGGTTATTTATGGTTAGCGTAGTACGAGCCGTATATACGTACTCCAATACATTTTACTTGGTTTCTTACGTAGCCCCAATCACGCATGCTTGATATTCCTGTCTATTTATTATAGTGTTTGTTGAGACTGTTACATTGCTGGTCATTGCAGGGCCGCGATTGCATTATTGACTTGCTTCTGTACTCAGCGCAGTATTTGAATGCGATCCAGACAATGTGCCCTCACATTCTCCGTTACCTCACGGCTGCTGTTGTTTGCAACCGCGCTAAGAGCAGTGCGTTCCGCGACCTCGTTAAGATTATCCAGCAGGAAAACTACCAATATTCGGATCCTATAACAGAGTTCGTCGAGTGTCTTTACGTGCACTTTGATTTTGATGGTGCACAGAAGAAACTGCGCGAATGCGAAACAGTCATTCAGAATGATTTCTTCCTGACCGCTTGTCTGGATGACTTCCGCGATAACGCTCGTTTAGCAATATTTGAAACGTTTTGCAGGATTCATGAGTGTGTCTCTATCGACATGCTTGCTGAGCGGCTAGCCATGGAGAAGCAGGAAGCAGAAGTGTGGATCGCCAATTTGATTCGAGGAGCCCGTCTACCTGCAAAAATAGATTATAAGCAGGGCCATGTTATTATGGGTCAGCAGGCTATTGAGCCGTACCAGACACTGGTTGATAAAACTCAGCAATTGGCCTTGAGAACACAGATCCAAGTTCATAATCTTCAACATAAGTTTTCTCACCCGGATCGCAACCAGTGGAGTGATGTGTAAGCGGACATTGCAGTTCGTGAATGAAAAAAGAGGTTGCATCTCATTGCCTGCAACAGACGTCCAGTATCGTCTGAATTCGTAACATGATAAGATTATGTAATTTAATGTAACACTATGACTTATTTAAAACAAATAAATGGGCGTCTATTGTTTTTGGGCAATTCTACGTGTTGTGTCTTAGTGGAGTTAAATGGTTAATTTTATTTAGCACTTATATTTTAATCTACTTCTTGGAAAATGAAAGCGAAAGTTGCTCGTCTTGAATTTTGATAATTATAATAAAACCTTTTATAATGCAGACACATTCTTTGTTGCTTTAAGTTTGCTATGGGGGAACTCTCGACCATATCTATGCAATGACACATACCTACTTTAAATAAACATGATAAATACATTTCTCAAGTTTCATTACGTTCATTTAATTTTCGAGCTCTTCTAATTTAAGAAAGCAAAATATACATGCTATTTTATAAATTATAGATCGTAATAAAAGGAGCTCTTTTATTCTTTGAAAATCTAGTTTCTCGTATACCCCATATTCATGCTGAGTAATGAGTGAAAAGATTTTTCTGATAGGTTGGAAGGTCAGTCCGTGAAGTGCCCGGTGAGGTTACGAGACGCTACGTCGACACGGTGGCTTGCACGATTAACCTTGATTTAAAAAAGTTGGAGATCGATTGATCAAAAGCCTGATATCCAGACATACTACATAACATTTGTGCTTAAATAAATTATACATAAGGTTATAAGGGTCATTCAATTGCAAGGTCTTTTCCCTATGCTATTCTTGGTGGGGTCATAAAATAGAGGGGAAAAACAATAAATTACTGTAAGGATTGATTTAACAGTCATCCTGACCGTATGGATTTCTTGTCATAAGCTGATTTTGGCCTATATGAAAAAAATCAAGCGGAAATGATGAAAGTTCTTTGTAGCATGACCGAAAGAAAACTAAGTTTGGAGTGTTAGAGAACTAAATAATGGATTTTAAATCAATATCTATTTTTAATGACGTAATTAGGAAAATTCGTTGTATTGTTCGAAATTAAACAGCTAGTTACACTTACATATTTTTTCAATTACAAAGCCAAAAACTTGATGTATGTAAAACATATCTTTGTACTTTGCTGATGTTTTTCTGATAAACATTACGATAGGATCAGTTGAAAAATGATTTAACAAGAATGCATTATTCTTCATAAAAAATAGCTCAAAGTTCTTAATAAATAATTGAAGATAATAAATGTTCGTATACTCAAGCAGGGAACTCTAACAAGCTTATTTGCCATCAAAATGGCTAAAAAGACATACTATCAATACCGTGAATTAGAAACTCGAACGAATAATAAAGGGAACAGCGGAAAAATCAGTGAAAAAGATTGATTATTTCGGACTGCATAAAAAACAAAACATGTAAACATGTAGAATCAATTAATAATAGTTTGAGACTGTAAATGAATACTAATGCCGGAACATTCACTTTTGAAAACTAAATTATTGTATACAGGGCCATTACTTGTTTGCTTTTTAAACTGGTCGGGCAGACGAATAATCCCAAAAAGTGCGAAGGGTTGTTGGTAAGCTCAAATTTTGCCTGCCTGTTATCATCCTCAAGATCTCGATAGCCACATTTTTTAAATTAATGACATATCAAGATATATATAATCCAAAAATATCTCTCAGCTCCAGGCAAAAATGGTGTAATACATTCTCCTCATACTTGGTACTTATCGTTCTTCGTATTTATGGTTCTTTGAATTTTTGCCAATGTTCGGCCACAATCATTTCTAACTGTATTTATCGTAAAGCTCTCACAATGGCTTTACATGACTAATGTTGCAATCGTACTCATGAATACTCCTAAAGTAATAATGACGTATTTCAGAATGTTCGCCATCAATAAAACACCTAATATTGAGTGGCTGTTAGCACTTTTTTCTTTGTTAGTTGCAGGGTATCAACAAAGAAATAACTAGTATCACACGGACAAAATAACTAATATCACCTCTGACGGCAAAATGAAGACTACTTGCGTCAAGACTGGGTATGCTACTCTACGGGCAATCCAGAAGATACCGCGCCCCTCGAAAAGCCTGTAGTGCTAGGTAACTGGAGAGACGAGCTGTTGAAGCAATACATGTTAGAATTAAAGATTCTTCTTTTCAGTAGAATAAGAAAAATCAAAGGTATGTATAAAAATGTAGGGTAAATAATAAGGAGAAAGTAGGAAGGTGTAGTTGAAATTACTAAATTGTTCAAGTTGAAAGGGCAGTTATAGGATAAGGTAAATGAGATTATGTAAGGGAATCAAGAAGGCGATGGTTAATAACAGTGCTTCTGAATAATAGGAATGACGAATTTTTAAGGGAATAAGAAAGGAAGTTTTAAGTTATAGCAAGCTTGTACTATGGGCTGCGACGTAACACTTGGTAACGGAAATCAGACATGAAGTGAGTGAGCGATGTACGAACATGTAAGTGGTATACCGACCAAACGAGCATGTTGGCAAGCGCTGATAGCTCCAGGTATACTGATTGATAATCTAAAACACAGAGACTGAGTTTATCAGGCTGGCAGATATTGGGAAGCGTATGAGAAAGCGTTAAAGGAAAATAGAGGAGGCACATGGAGTTCCGGAGATGGCATGTGCGGCATCGTTTCGTAAAATGCTTGATTTCGCAGCTATGTCTCGGCCCCACACGACCATGCAGTGGAAGGGGCGAAAGACAAACAGAGCTAAAAATAGTGTGTTTGTAGGAAGTCAAAAGCACCTGAAATGAAATAGAATGAAGATAACAGCATCAGTAAACTGAACTAAATGGTTATCCATGGTGAGAGTAGCCTAGTCAGAAAGAAGAGGATCTGCATGTTTAATGAAAACGACCATTGTCTTGATCATATTAAGTGAAAGTTTTAGAATGAAGCAGACAGTAATCACAGTGGGAGGATCACAATTAATTTCAATCAATATTGTAGTGTTATCGGCGAAAGCCCTGGTAGGGATGCTTTGGTAGTTTAAATATATAGAAGAAACTTACCATAGGAGAAAATAGAGGGGTCTTAGGGCAGTACCCTAACCGACGCCCTTCAGAAGCTACACAGAAGCAGACAGAACAGCCAAGATGTTGACTTGAACACAAAAAAATTATTTCAAAATTCAAGGTGTAAAACTTGTAAGAGATAAAAAGGTGGTGGATTCAAAATGAAATTAAAGCAGACTGAATAACAGTTGCTTAAAAATGGTTGGGTAAAAGAGGTAATGACTCTAGGCAGGCAGACCATCCCTTGAAGTTTTGTCTTTTTAAGTGAGGTCGCAATAGCCGTTTTAATATAGGCCAAGAATTAGCAGGGAGCATGGAAAGGTTGTGTATGAATGTAACAGGAAGTGTGCCAGGGAATATATGCTCTACTTGGGGACGTCAGGGAAATTGCTATAGTAGCACTATTGTAGCTGAATTCACAGCTGCTGTTAACATAACTAAAAATTTTGAATTTGTAGATCAAACGGCAAAGGCAGAGTAAAGGAATAAAAGATAGAAACATAAAGTTACGGAGTGAGCTGGGATGTACTAGAGTAGGCAAAAATGAAATGCGGGGAACAAAGAAGAGATAGTTAGTCTGAGTGAGAAGATCAAGCAGCTTCCAGGCATTCTCCGTAGGGGAAGTTGACCATTTTTCCAGAGCCAGCTAAGGAGTCTTAGGCCGCATAAAGCACAGCCCAGAGAAAAATTATTTTTTATATATAAAATAGTTCTCAAGTAAGTAACATTGAATAGTTTTTCAAAAGAAAATTCTATAAGTAAAGTGTCTTTTAGCTGCGCGACACAGATCAAGGTGTATACTGTTGCGTTAACGGCCCCATCGAAGGTCTTTGGGTGTACAGAAATACAGTAAGTGTAGATTGAAACCCATTTACAGCCTTATCAAGGGTAGTTTCAGTGATGGCGTAGTGTGTAACGCTTCTTTAACTTAAAGATGGCCTGAATTCGAATCCAGTCATAGAAATATTCAGTTTCGCGGTGGGAGACAGCCGTCAGATAGAACGTCAGATGGCGGGACCGGACGTACAGCTAGTAGTCAGGGATAGCCACTTTTTAAATCTCGTTTCTTGGAGACTGATAATTTTTTATTGCAATTAGTAATACAACGTAATCCGCATCGACCGCATACAGTGGGGAGGAAGTGATTTGAGAGTGGTAAGTGGAAATAAGAAAGTAAGACGTAACAAGTTAGTATTGAGATAAGCTAAAGGCATTGAAGACACGAGGTCAAATAGTGGCGAACAATGCAGATTAAGTGACCCACGTATGGTCGAGGCAAGTGCCGATGTGGGGTCTGCTATGTATAATAATTAAGGGGAAAAGGTCTAGGTATAAAAATGTGCTCTTTACAAATGGAATGTTATCATCCTAGCATAATTTACTGAAAATTTACTTCACGTTTAGCAATAATAACCCAAATATAATAACTGAAATTGTTTTCTTTTACAGTAAAAGATTTTTTGATCAAGGATGGAAAAGGATATCGAACATAGCTGTAACATAAGATCTACGATGAATATACTTCTAGGTAGAAAGGTCGAACATTAGACGAAATCACTAAACTAGTTGAAAAGTATAGACTTAGGAACAAAAAGCTTGCAAATATAATTTGCTTGAGACCGATTCATCGAATGAGTTATTTTTCGAACCAACTCTTTCATCAGGTGAATCAAAGTCGGTAACAGCTAGAGCAAATGATGTGCCGCGAATTTGCTTGCAGTTTATGTTTTTTGTTGAACCACCCTCTTTCTGAACGCACTGAAAAAATGATTTTACAACTATCCCATATAAATAAAAAAAAAAAATTCAAAAAGTTCTTAGTGCCTACAGCAATGCATAGGTATTGTACATGGTAAGCTGACTGAGGATACAGGAAGCGTACGCCTGAAAAAATGTGCATGAACAGTCTGACACTTCATGTAATGTCTCTCAAAACCAATTTGGCACGCTAGCTAGATAGTGCAAAAAACTGATGAACGACTTTAGCTTTAATTGAAACCTCAAAAGACGAGCTCACGACCTAAGTTTCGACCAACACGTTTATTTTCGTCTCTAGCGTGAGTCTAATGCAATGAACTAAAGTGTTCTGAAGCTATTAAAGCCGGTGGATCACGCGGCTGCTAGGGTGTCGACTGCTACGGGGCCAATCGTCTTTTCAAATTTAGCCGCTCGGAGGCGTCTGTCATGAAGGTGGCGCTGCGATCAACTAGAATGAGCATCGCATTGCTGACTGGGTTGACTGGTGAGAACAAATCGCCACTGGCTGGTGCTGCCATTTGAAAAAGGGGAGCTTGTGTTGTTGTTGTTCTGCATTGCAAAGTTTGCGTACGCTAGCCGCTAGTCGACGTTATATTCAAGAACCTAGCCGGCCCAATTATTGTCAGGTAGGTCTGTGCACTTCGGGCATGTCCACTGTCCCGTCTCCCACTACTTATATTACATAGCAACTATCCCATCCGAACGGGCGGCAAAACTGCGTACAGGCTAATCGTACTTCAAATGAACCCAGTGTATGGACGTATGCGACTTATGTCTGTGCCATTGGAAGTTCCAGTAGCTTATCGATAAGATTTATGTCTGGCACGCCCGAATTTAGCCCAGAAACCGACGGTTTATTTCAAGCTTCGCAGCTTTCGGAAATACCAGAATGGACATCCAACGAAAAGACAATGAACGAACTGAAAACACACCGAACCAGCATCGACCCCATCCAATTGCCCGTCTGTCAGCTGGACGTTGAGTGGGATTTGATCAGGATCCGAAAATCGGTTGCATCAACCCATTCCTCATCCTGTGGTGAAGTTGTTAATAAAATTCGTGTCTGTTGTTTAGGTTGGTTTATGTTGATGCAACGGGATGCATTTGTTTGTTTCTTTGTGGTTCATGTGGCCGCCACCTCCCCTAATTTACCCCTCCACTGCTTTTGTTATGCCTGGTGTTACTCCCACTGCGACTACTGGCGTCGATATCTCTTTTAATACAAGTTCCAAACTCTTGCTGCTCCTGAGTTGTCCGTCGTTCCGTCTGAGGTGTGTTTCGCGCCCCCTTGTTGCAGTTTACTGAGTACCGAATATAGGATAGCTCTGAACTGACCAAATGGATCTGTTCGCTTGAAATGCATTAGTAGTGCCGTTAAATTACTAGGCATATCGTAATATTCTGCATTGTACCATTAGGCGTACCTACTATTATATTAAAGCGATTTTAAAAGCGATTAGCTGACAGATTTAGGGATCGTCTTCTGTTGCTCCTTCTCAACAGCGGTCGTTTTGTGTTTGTGTGCGTGTGTGTCGTCTGGGTGTTCGTTTTTGTGCGCCCTATGTGTGTATCGTTTCGTGCGCTCCTGCCCGTGCTACGATGACTTCTCTGTGCTTGTTTCACATTGATCTGTTAATGTGTAAAAGTAAATATTTATTGCTATAATGTGCCGGGAAGTACGCTAAGGAAGCAAATTCGTTCTGTTCGAGAATTTCATTCTGTATATCCTTGTGATTCTACACTACTGCCCTCATAACAAATGAATCGATTTCCTCCGACCATTGTATGTTGTGTATAGACGTTAAAGGTGTGTGCTAGTACGCTTACGCGTAGAATCGCTTCGTCCGTTCATATTTCGTTTTGTGGCGCATCCTTGTGACCGTTGTAGCCCGGACCGGCTGTGACACTAGTGGAAGTTTTGTCTGCCATGGTTCAACGTTGTCGTCGTCGTTATCGTCGCTACTGCTGCCGCTGCAGTTTTAGCGAGAGAGTTAGGCTGAACAGACTAAAAAACAAGTTAATAAGCGAGCTAACAAGCATGCAGGAACGAGTGAGTGAACTAGTTACTGAGAGAGTGAGTTGTATAAGGAGAGGTGAAGCTAAACGCCCGCCCTGTCGGCGGCTGGTCTGCTAGTTGGCTGCTGGTATATATGCTTCTGCTTGCTGCCTCTTTCGTTCGTACTAGTACTACTATTAGTATAACTACAATTGGTGCTCAGCATCGCCGGCGCTCCGCTTTGTCAGCAATGGCGCCTTCGCCGCGGCTGCCGTCAGCAGCGCAACCACCACTATTACTGGCTTCGCTTTCCACACGTCTTTTCTGTTTCTATGTATTGATGAAAAGCTGCGGCCGAATCGGTAGAGGCTCACAACAATATTTAATTGAAAGATAAAGGTAAAGTTATGACTAACTTTACTCGAACCAGAATTGAGAATATCTGTCATCGAAATAATGATAGCTGCTTATTAATACTGTACGACTGTAAAAACAAAAACTCGCCACTAGGAGCTAATATTGAAATATATTTCGCCAAAGTACTTAGTAGCTCTCTGAAATTTTATAATAATCATTGGCTAATCTCTTCCAATGTATATTAGATATAGGCTGATATCATCCTCATTGTATACCTATGCGTCTTTGGTTTGCCGTAGGTGAATTTGAATACATTTCGTAAGTCTTGGTAAAATGCTGTGGGGGAATGAGTATGTCATCTGTGAAGTGTCGACACTGTTTTTGAGGGTGATGATACGTAGCAGGAACACTGCTCATCCAAACTTACCCGTAGTGAATTGATGAGGTGTTTAGCAAACCGGTTACAGCTCGTACCTTACTAACACTTTTTGAGTTACCGTAATTTTAAATATAAACTACCAGACGTGTGAGGTCGTTGTTTCCTTTATCTTTTTTTAGGCTGATACCGATATATGCTAATAGGGACTAGAACAACTGACTATGTTGTTGGATTTTAGTGAGCGGGGAAGGTGGCATTGGCAAGGAAGAGGAAAATAGAGGGCGATAGGAAATGGATGACGATATCTATAAGCGCTCAACGATAAAATTTTAATTGCAGAAGATGTTGCCTTCGCGTACTTTCTTCGGTTGAACATTCTTCTCCAAGGTCGTTTATACTCCGCCTGACCATTATAACCTGTTTCCGTGTTTCGACCTAGAATTACACTAGCATATGGATCATTCCGTCAAATCATAGAAGTTTTACTGGCATACACCTCAGTGATAGTCAAGGCATTTTATGTAACTTAAATTGAATTTAAACGCCGCAGAAATGTCTACCTAAGGGAAAGTTAAGAGACCCTAATACTGCGTATACTATAATTGTAAATGTGTGACGCTGACGACAACTGACACAAGTATTTATGAACACGATTACCAAGTGTGGCTTACGCAGAAATTCAAGATTTCAAATGGTGGTCTGTCACTTCTAGTAATTGTTTGAATATGTTTAACTGTAGGTTCCTCTTTTAGACGACATAAAAAAGGTTTAACCTGTTAAAAATCCACATTGATATGCAAGTGTTCTAGATGCGGCCAATGGCCATCTAGTGTTTTCTAAATCTTATGTGGCATTCATAATTTCAAATACGATAAATAGATGAATATGTTTGCTGTAGTCTTCGTATAATCTAAGTTGGTTAACTAGGGCTTCAGTACCGGGGTATTAATACGTAAGGAGACGTTAGATTTCTGAAAAATTGAAGTAAGCAGCCGAGGAGCAACGTCAAAGTATCAGTTTCTATCAAGTTCCATAAAGCAGATACTCTAGACGATTGTTCTGCTAATACACACATACAGGGTCCTCGCAGGCTAACTGATGTACTGGTACAATTCTCCAACGAACTGTCTTACAAATGTTCGGGAGATTAACATAAGTTAGGGTAGAAGTCCTATGGACATGAAGAGGAGCTATAAAGCTGCTATGCATATTAAAATAAGATTCCACAGATGCCCTGTTATCTGTTGCACTGGTGCAGGGTTCCTCTTTGAGCTCATTCGTTATTTTCTAATCATACGCGCGCTTCTCGTTTAAAAGCTTAAGTTTAAAAGTTAGACGGTGTATGTAATGCCTAGCTTTGCGTATATATATATATATATATATATATATATATATATATATATATATATATATATATAGGCGGTACAGGCATAGTGCTATTGATAGGTAAGCATTTCGCTGGAGCACTCAGTAATCGCTGATTTCAGCCCTGCAATCGACACGTGCTATGCTATATGCGCGTTTGACTAAGGTGGTCCGGATTACTTGATCTAAATGTGTATGTGTTCTAAAGTGGTAAAGAAGCGTTCCTTGCTCTAATTGTGACGTCGTTTGCCAATATATAACGCTATTAAACAAGAGCTGCACCGGTGAACGTGTAGAACCTATGTTTTTGTTTCGTTTCTCATAGTTTATTAAGCTTTTACAGTTTACACTTGAATATGCAGCCACTAAAGTGGCTCTCATAAACAGTTTTGCGTTACATGATCTGTGGGATGTCTGCCAAAGCAAGCGTTTTGTGTTGAAGCTTGAATCAACGCATCTCCAGCTGATGAATTCATGGGGTATCGACTTTTTTACTTAAGTTCTGCATATTCAGTATTTCGGTTATAATTCTAATCATAAAAAAAGTCGTTATCTAACCGACCGAGCCCGTAGATTCCGAGTTCTGCTTTCGTGAAAAGCTTTCCCGATTGTGGCAACATGTTTGTGTGCCTGGGACATCTAGTCACCTACTGTATGGTCTTCGACATTCCAAGCTCCATTCTTGAAGCGTTTGCACCATTCAGGTATTGTGTTTCGCTTAAGGCCTTCTTGCCTAATGTCTAGACCAACCTTTGACGACCTTCCGCAGCGCTGTGCTTTTTGAAGACCAAAGTTTGACCACCGAACGGTGATTTTCAAGATCAAAAAGATATTTCTATTTTGAACTCATTTCTCCTGGAATAAATTCAACTCACAAGCTTCTAGAAGACTGAAGTATCTACCAACCAAATTTAGTTTACTCACAGCGCTTAATTCAAAGGTTATTAAACTTCAGAGTCAGTCGTATGCGTTTGTAACAGCCTAATGTAAAAAATAATAATAGGGCGAACTATTTTAGTTAAATATATATTAGATACAGAGTTCATCCTGACGAATGAACTATATCTTAGTCTATATCGACGTATTCTAGTATTCTGTTCGTTCCATGAGCTAAATCAGTATTTCCGTGTTATATGGGGCATGGGTGGTGTCTTTGAGCTTTTCTGTTCTAAGCGACTGGCGCCCAGAAAGATGACCTTTTACAAGTTGAGTTTTCAGGTTCAACTCATACATTTCATTGTTGTTTTCTACGTAGTTTAATGAGAGCGTTTTTAATTTATCCTTCGATTTTCAGAGGAACAAACAGACAAGCAAAAAACTCATTCGGAGACCGGCAAAGGTGTCAATAAGCGTGTGACAAAAAAATATGTCGTCAGGGGGGGACACAAAACCCCCGGATCCGGGGACGGGAGGAACCCGTGTTGCACCTTTGGCAACGCCAGTCGACCTTGCACGTGTCGTTGTAAAGCCAGCACTTCCTGAACTTCCATCGGTATCTCTGGCGCAAGCAACGCATACTAGTCACTTAACGGGGCTGCCAGCTCGAGTGCAACAAACAGCAGCAGCTGCACCACCAGCTGCTCTTACAGGCACAGTCATTTCAGCTGCTCCCGCTTCGCAGAATACCGGAAGTGCAATATTTACGCCATCGTCGCATCTGATTGTCCCAGCAGCAAGCAAGACTGCCTCCCTACGACCACCAATTCGACCATTACATCCAACTCCCGTAGTAGGGCCCGGTGTACAAAAAATGATCACTCCAACGGGGGTAAGCCCCGTTAGCGTTAAGGCGACTCCAACTGTAGTTCAGCACGTGTCTCGTGCGCCTGTCGTCCCTATGCAACAACAGCAAAGTGGTTCCGCTAAACGACCTGCAGCAGCAAATGCCGCCACTGGAGCTACTGTTGCTCCAAACGCCTCGTTGATTCGTGCTCCGCAGTTTAGCTCACATGTGCCACGTGGCCCTGCAACAGTGGCGAGTATTACGGCAGGACCAAAAACAGCCGTAGCAACACCCATCATACGACAGACCGGAACGGGAGGGCAGAACGTTGTATTAGCTCCTACCATACCAGTTGGAGCTACAAGAACAACACAAGGAGCCACGTTAACTGCAACAAGATCATTTGCACCAGTTACGATGGTCGAGGTCGCCAAGCCAGGAGTTAGTGTAGGTGTTAGCCAGGGTGGTCAGCAACTTCATTTGGGTCTCCAGCCTAGCATCACGATTGAATCGAGCGTGGCACGTGCTTCTGGCACCAGCCACAAGACTCAGACAGTTTACGCCCCTGCCATATTCCAACCCGTTGTTTCCGGTGCAGGTGGCGGAGATAAGATTGCGCCGACAACGGCTACATTCTTTAAGACTACGAGTCCAGCAGTTCACCAAGGAGCTCAGTTTACTAAAGGCGGAACGACATTTACGCCAATCACAACATCTCAACCACAGGCAGTGGTTCAGGCGGCCCAGGCTGGCGTTGCGCCTGTCGTAAGTATCGCAGGCGGTGTAGTACCTGGAGTAGCAGCTGGAACGCAGGCTGTGACAATTACGAGTAAAGTAAGTGTAGTGACCTCTGCAGCGGCTGGCCAACAGCATTTCGGCAAGGTAACTCCACAACCGGTATTCGTTGCCAACAATAAAGCAGGAGGAGTCAGTAACGTTGTAATTACTACATCTCAAAGGCCGGTAAGTAATTCCTGATTGTAATAATGTGGCCTGCCAGACCTGACGTATCATATAGTTTGGTCGATATTTTGCTCCAATATGGTGTCAGTGAGATTCTTAGAACCTTCCGGCAGTAAAAAAAGAATATGGTCTGGGGCAATGTTTAGCAGCAGTAGTGGGTCTGGAACTAGGAACATTTTTAGTGAAAAACCAAGGGTCGCAGGTCTTAACTACATTAAATGGTATGTCTTTTTAATAAGACGTATTTCAAGCACATTTAGATATTTGAGATCCTAGTATATGAAAAACATTTATTCTTTTGTTTTGTAAGAGAGGAAACCATTTCAATCTAATAAACAGCGTCAATATTCCAACAACAACGTAAGTTAGTCGGTTATCGTTGATTTACGCTACGCATAGTGTATGTCATCAATTTTTCGGAGTCATTTGTGGAATAGCACTATTTTTCACCTAAAATTTCTGATCTTCTCTTGACTCTTTTTGACTGAAAATATAGACTCGGAAATGCGAAACTGCCATTGGATTCGTTAGATACAAATGGATGGTCTTAGATAGTGTTAACGAGAACTTTATTGCATTTTGGTTTGGTGTGGATAGGTACGTAACGTTACAACAACTCAAGTAACAACAGCAGTAACGAACGCCAGCAACCTTTCAATACCAATGGCCAAGGTATACCAGCAGCAACCACTGACCGTGTCAACTCAAAGTGCGGATCTTGAAGGGCAGCCGCAACCTATTGGCTTTATGACAGCAACGGGCCCCCGCCTGCAGCTCCCAGTGATAAGCGTGGGCGGTCAAGGGGTCGGAGCGGTGCAAGGCGCTGCTCCACCTGGTGCGGTTGTTCTGGCAGGGCCTGAAAGTCGAGCAGGTGCTACTGCACAGTACGCAATGCCACCAGGAGCGTACCTCACTTACGAAACGTATCCAGCGTACTTTGGTGGACAAAGTGGCACATCCACGCCTGTGCACCTTACAACAGCAACAATACCTGGTGTTCGAGCGGTGTCTCCGCGGGCACCCTTTAGCGCTCCTCGACCACTCATGGTTACGGTAGACACAAAAGTGCATCCGGCCCCCAACGCTCAGACGGGCGTCATATCTGTTACAGCCAACAAAACTGGTAGCGTCCACCCCTCAACCCCAACACCAACGCCATCTTCCACAATGACGGTAGGGGTTCCTTCTACTACCATAGAGACAAGTGGAGGAGTAACGGTGACGCCAGTAGAAGTTCCTACCTCTTCCACAACTCGTATTGTAACGAGTGAACCCGTAGTCGGCGGAAGTGGGGCCAAGCTCACGACTGCTGCCGAGCATACTAACAAGCTTATGGAAAAAGTTATCACGCAGAGTTTAAATACACCCGTAAATCCTCCAACGGCTCCACTACCACTTTCGCTGTCCATCGCGCCAGCATCGGTTAGCGCCCTTTCTGGTGCTGCCATCACGTCGGTGTCAGTTACGCCAGCAGCAGCAGCAGCAGCAGTTGTTGCGGCTCCTGGAAGCACGGGGAGTCCATCCATTAGCAGCCCTAGTAGACCGTCGATTTTGAGAAAACGGCCTGCAACGTTACCGGACCAATGTTTGCCTTCGCCTTCGATAAGTAGTTCGCGAAAGGAAACTAGCAAAGATGACAGTGCGTCTTCAACGGTAGTGTCTGTTAAGCAGGAGTCAATGGAAGATAATAACAACACGAGTGTTAATATAATACAATCGACTGGAGGCGGAGAGAGCCAGCACACCACTGTTCAGCACCATCAACATGCACAAATAACTGGTCTTGGAGGACAAAATGGGCAGGTAGCTAGCCCCCGCAAGAAGCCAAGAAAACAACTGCTGCAGATGGCCGAGGGCGAGACCGCAAATGTAATATGTACCGGCGCGATCACAACGAAACGGAAAGAAAACGGCCGTGGAGAGACTCTGGTGGAACGCGAACCCGCGGGCAGCCCTGGAGCGGGGAAACATCCGCCACAGCAGCAGCGGCCGCAGTTATTTGGTGCACAGTTCCAGCCAAATTGGAAAGCGCGACTCAATCATTTTGTGCATCATTCAGACGTCCGGAGTAGAGATGATAAGCGGCCAACAGTAAATGAGCTTGCCAACCAAAAGTGCGCCGCTCAAAGAGCACACGGGTGGAAGGTTTGTTTTATTTTTTTGATATACCTTTGCTGTAAGAGTGTTTATATAATAATTAGTCAACAACGAAATGTTTGAGAGGACATTTGCAAATACTATAAATATGTGTACAAATATTAACACGGTATAAGAGAAAGAAAGTTTCGCAAATTTGAGTAACATTGGATTTTGTCTTTGGCCTTTGTAGTCTTCGCGGATACCTAAGAAGGCTGCGTAAGAAAAGAATACTAAACTACTTCCATTACCTTGGTAGACATGGCCCATAGCAAATACCAGTGCTTGTAGATGACATCGAATCACTTTCTATTTCTACTAATAATCTATTCAACTTTCTGTTACAGCTTTATCACATTAAGGGTCAGGTGGAAGAAGTAGAGACAATAGAGTCAGATGTGTTCCAGAGATTCAGTAAGATTCTCGACGAGTTCGAGAATTCAACTAACCATAGACCCTCCGAAGGTAGCGGGACCTCTCATCTTTCACCAGAAGATGAAAAAATGTTTAATAAAATTACTGACCTCATAAAGGTAAGTTTTCCGAGTATCAAGTCTAAGTTTCGCGTCTAGAAAACTTTCGAGAAAACTGAATATTACTTCAAGATGAAATTGGTAGATATAACATATGTGGATTAAAAAGTAATTGTCACATAATTTCTTACAAGATTCTTTGTGAATTACAAGCCTCACCAGACTTAGAGAAGCCTTCAAGGGTATGCTCTTAGGATTTTCTTATCGTGGTTGGTATGGGTTTACAAGAAGTTTGCCATTGACGTGGAGTTTATACCACAAGATATAGAGAGCGTTTATTATTTTTCTTTCGCAGCAATTTATTGTAATTGTCTGATGGAGCTCCACCTTTCGGCAATGATGATAAGCATCACTTTAGTTATTTCAAGCTCAATTTACTGTATATGTTAGGGTTCACTACCTAATGCCAAGATGTCATTATTGTGCGGTATCTTGCAGGGCAACCTTCAACGGAGCAAAATAATGCAAGATCAGGTGGGCGAGGTAAAAAAGCAGCTTGTGAAAGTTCTCGATCACAAGCCACGCGTGCTCGATGTGATTGGCAAACACGTCAGTAAGCGCCCTCTTAAGAAACGAGAGAAGCTATGAAAATGTATTGCCAGACTCGCGACTTTTGAGTTTAAGGTGGCAGTCTGTTTCATTGAATTTGTTGTTGCGGAATTAACTCCATTTGACGGCTTCACCGCTGAATATTACAATATTCAACAAAAAGTCATTTAAAGACAATAGTAAGGCGGTTTCGCATGTTGCTTTGTCTATGTCATTGCCGTTACGACATTATCCCCAGATATATTTCGTTTTTACTGCGCTGCATTTTTGTTCCACCAGATTAAACTGTACAAATCGATACTCTTTTACGCGCCGAGGAGTGCGCAGACTTTACGACCGTATGAACTCTCCCACAATAATATTAATGTCGGTAAATTCAAAACAAGCCATAGAAGCTAGTTGTATATAAACCCACTACTATTTTTCATAGGGTCATTACCTAATTTTAATACAGATATTGTTTCTAAAATCTTTAACCACTTAAAAGTTTGTACAGAAAAAAAAACGTATCTGGTATTCAATTGCCATATATACTAACGAGAGCATTTTGTCAATTTTTTGTTAACTGCAAGCCCCAAGAATTCCTTGTGTTCATCGTCAACGTTATCCAGTCTCGTTTCTAATGAAAGTGACTTCCGCCTTTCATGTAGTTTTCATTTTTTTTTAGATGTACATCGTACGCATCTTAACGATAAAAGCTTATAATTATATCGCATTTGACCACAGATCAAAGATTAAGTCAGTAGCCAAATCGATTATGTATGTGACAGCTATCTATTTGTACGTATTGGGGGATTTGAACTGGTTCTTGTCAACTCAGAAGCGATATCCTTATGAAGTCTATACTCAACGTTTCTCATCAAAACGTTTATTGCCAGTATAGATTATGTGACGCACCTGGCATTGAAGTTTCGATAATTTTTATCAATCCACCCAACTGTCACTGAAAAAGGTAGAAGCAATGTATGACCTCGCTGCTGTGGGCCCAGTTTTTTTTCTGTTCATAAGCTGACAGTGCAGGGTGAGAAACAATTGTGATTCTGAGCGACTGAGGTCGCCGAGCTTCATCTGTGGCCCTCTTAGTCACCGACTACAATACTTGTGTATTTTTGTATCAAAACAGCAAGACCAAGACCAAGAGGTTCACCGACCAATAAGACCTAACTGTCGTTTGTATACGGTTTTTGCATACCTCTAAGTATATCTGGCTGACTTTTGTGGATGCCTTCATACGACGGTAACCTAAAAAGTAGCAGGAAGTAACAAAAGACGAGATGTCAACAGCAAGCATGTACAGGACAAAAAGTCGACCTGCGATACTGGCTCAGAGCTGGAGTTAACGGCCGGCCATGTCAAGAGCTCCGGTGTTGTGAGGCGAGTGACTAAAGTGCGAATTGGCAAATACTATTAGTAATTGTTGTTTAAGCTAAAATGCAGGCTTTAGAGTAGCGGGCAAGTCACTGCTCGTTTGTCGGAAAATGTTAAAGAGTTTGTGTATCGAATTTTGCTCTCTGACCAAGGATGTCGAATATAGCTAACCAAAAATTAGTCAATCTGTTCGAATCCAATGCAAAAGTAGGAGGCATTTAGAGAAGCTATGGAGTACCACATTAATGCCATGCCGCATTCCATTTTTAAATGCCCCCAGCCTTTTCGCAGACATGAAAGAAGTATACAAAAGTATCGTCATGCGCTTAAAATCCCGGGTCGTACTAGGGTATATTTAAGCTCAACCGTAATAGAGCCCAGCTCGCCTCGAACATAGCAGAGTGATATGTATATATCAGATTAAATAACCTTTACCCTAACAACAGCAACAATAACAACAACAACAACATTCATCCAATTTGTGATCTCGAAGTAGACTCTCCCTGTACATATATAAGTGACTCTTAAAACATGGAAACATGCTTTTCTACTATAGAGGCAGTTATCCTATTTTATAGACGATAATATTGATATTGATGCAATAGATGTATAGATTTGTACATGTTGGATATAGTCTGCTGCTAAGTGCGAGAGTCGCTGGTAGAAGCGAATCGAGATGAAGCTGTGAGCGGTCAGGATGTGACGAAATAACACGGTTTATGCCGTACATCGGCTGTGCCCATATCTAGCTCCGTTAAGTCGTTGCTACGATGGCACGCGCTGTGGCATGCTGGCGCTGTGTGTGACATACCCCAACGCGCAAATACCAATAGCGTTTTTCTATTATTAGTATTTGACATATTACGGTTTGCTGGGAAAGAAAAAGCGGAGGACTGGTTTGCTGTTAATATTTATGCAGATAACGTGAGGTCCGTGCAACTGTTTGTTAGAACCGAGAAAACGAAAAACGGGCTGCTATTTCTTGTTGATTTGGACTTTGCGTAATTTAAAATTTATTGGGAATCTCACAAAATGTATTGGAATTCACAGAAAAATGGAACTGTAATATACCTAAATCCCTTAGATTATTCGTGCATCTATCTAGGCCCTGGTGACCTATTACAGTTATATATTATCAGCTAAACACTTGTGGCACAGCGTGGCAGAACGTTCTCGAAATACCATATTTTCTATCGGCTATATACACACAACATATATATATA